TTACCCTATGTGTTAGGCGGTGGCTAGTTTGAGATTCGAGTTCGAGGATATTTGCTTGATTGTTCGCAAGGCGAGTCTTCTCACTATACTTACCATGAGTGGTATTTTGTGTGACTGAGATGTCTTATGTGTTTATATTGTGTATTGTGATATCCTGCATTATTTCTTTGTGATTTATGTTGTATATTACTCAGAGCCATCAGAGTTAGGACCGGAGGGTCCATCAGAGTACGAGACCGGAGGGTCCTCACTTAGACCAGACCGGAGGGTCCAACGAGCAGTGATACTGGAAGGTTCTCACTTAGACCGGACCGGAGAGTCCAACGAGCTGTGGGACTGGAGGGTCCCACTAGGACACATTGATTGGAGGGTCTCCAGAGCTATAGCCCTCGAGTGGCTAATTATTTGTGCATGGTATTTTGGGGAACTCACTAAGCTTCGTGCTTACCGTGTTATGTGTTATGTGTTTCAGGTTTCTCAGGATCGCGGGAAGGAACCGGCTTGACTGTACACACCAGTGAAAGAGTTATGTTTTGAGGATCCTGGATTTGAATCAAACAATTATGGAGTCGTGATTTGTAAATTAAATAAATGAGATTTTCATGAAATGTGTTATGAGAACTATGCGATTTTTAAATGAAAATTTTATTTGAAAAATTTACGGTGTTACAACTTAAGCCATTAAGCACTTATTAGGGTTTTGGAAAAACCCCCCCGTACGCCCAGCGTAAATCCAGTACGCCCAACGTACTGAGTCAACCACCCCGATGGTGGTCAACGTCAGGAGGAGTACGCCACTACGCCCAGCATACCAGGGGAGTACGCCCCGCGTACATCCTCTGTTGGGCTTTTCTTGAATTGGGCTTCGGGATTGGGCCACCTTTTGGACTAGTTGGACTTGGGCCTTGATGGGCTTTCTGAATAAGGGAGTTTTGGACCAGTTTTGAATATGGATCTTAGAATAAGGCCCAAATAGGGAGTTGGGCCCGATTTGGTAAATTGGGCCAATAATGGGCTTTGCATGAGGACTTTCAAGATTATGGATTTGGCATTGGGCCTTGGCTTAATAAAGAGAAAGGACATGATGGATTGTGTGGACCCTTAGTCAAGACTGATATCTTGTGTATTGACTTGGTATTTATTATGTGATAGTTCAGGATTCCCTGTGAGACAGCGATTAGAGGTTTTCAGTACTTTCAACACTACTTGCGAGGTGAGTTATCCTCACTATACTAAGGGATCTAAGGCACCAAGGTCGGCCCATTGGATCTGATATCCCAGCAGTTGGTAGTATGTTGAGTATAAGTTAGTGTTGCATGCTAGTTGTTATGCCAGTTAGGTAGATCTGTATGACTACCTGTATTATTATGTGATTATATGTATGCGCATTAGTTGTGTTATATGTCGACATATTATGTGGGATGGGTTAAGGTGATACTGCTCCGTGCGGTAACCAACAAACCCGGGAGCATTCCAAATACGAGCTGAGGGCCGGGTGGGGCATGCCAGACTCGTACTGTGGGCTCGGGAGCATTCCAGATACAAGCTGAGGGCCGGGTGAGGCATACCAGACTCGTACTGTGGGTCGGTGGCAATCCAGATGTGAGCTGTGGGCCCGGAAGGCAATCCAGACTCACACTGTGAGCCCAGGGGTAATCGAGTCTGTAAAGCTGTGGACCCAGTACATGATGTTATTTGTATATGTGTTATGTGCAGTGTATCAGTATTTTAGGGGAACTCACTAAGCCTCGGGCTTACAGTTTCAGTTTATTGTTTCAGGTACATCAGTTGATCGCGGGAAGACAAAGGCAAGATCGTACAACTCCTCATATTTATGTTTATGTTTCTGGGATACTCTGATATTATACATTTTGAAAACAAGTTTTGTAATGATTAATTGTTTTGAAATGTTTTTAAAAGTTTCAATTTGGCTTGATTTTTATGGATGTTACAATGTTGGAAATAATATTTTATTTATTATAATATTAAATAGATAATACGACTAAATCTCGAGCACTGTGCGTCGAACGCCTTGCATACCCTCACGCCCTAAACTTAAGGACACCATTAAGACAATTTTAGAATTTGGACTAATGTGTGATTTTGAGGAAAGCAGGAGGACCAACATTATAATTTACTCAAATACATACAAATAAAAGAGAAAACTACAAATTTGGTCAATGTCATTTTTTCTATTGAGGCTAAAAAATTTCCAACTTGCACCATACGTCCACAACTAGATTTTTTTTTAGTTTGATCCCATATAATTTAGAGTAAATTATACGAATGGTCCCTATGGTTTGGGGTAATCTGCACGTTTGGTCCCTAACTTATGTTTTTAACTCGGAAGGTCCCTACTGTTTGTTTTTGTTGCGCGCTTGGTCCCTGTCTTACCTTAAAAAGACTACTTTGCCCTTGATTTTTTAATTTATTTAAATACACACATCCCCAACCCCACTTCCACCTCACCTTACCTTACCTTACCTACCCCTACCTTATTTAAATAAATTAAAAAATCAAGGGCAAAATCGTCTTTTTAGATAAGACATGGACCAAGCGCGCAACAAAAACAAACTATAAGGACCTTCCGAATTAAAAAAATAAGTTAGTGACCAAACATGCAAATTACTCCAAACCATAGGAACTATTCGTGTAATTTACTCTATAATTTACTCTGTGGGGGCACAACAACCCATGGCAAAATGAATGTTACAAAAGTGTTTGACTTATGGTGGTGGGTACGTAGCAAAATGAGTTTTTAAAAAATTGTTTAGATTAGTTTTTATGGTGACAAAAACCAATAAATCAATAAGCTAAAAAATGTTTGGCTTAAAATATTTGTTTGAAGTTATTACGATTAAAAAGTTAAAGAGAGTTTTAAAAAAAACAAATTTACATGTTTTTTAAAAAATTTATTTTTAAAACTAACAGAAAAAACTATTTTGAAAAGATTTTGAGTTTGTAAACAAAAAAAAATGATTTATTGGCTTTTTTAAAAAGCCAATATAAATCAATAAATTATTTAGAAATACAATCAACACCTAGGAGTTTGAGAGGTAGACAAAATTGGAGGGGCATTCGAACTTTATTTTTATTTAGAAGCAACAAATATATTAAGGTAAAATGATTTAAAAAGTAACGAAGTTTTAAAAATGTACAAAAAAGACCATTGTCTTTTTGTAGTACATAAAATATCATTGAACCGACTATGTAGGTAACCATCAGGTTACCCGATTTCCAAAATGTTTAAAAAATATCATTGTTATTTTTTTAGTACAAAAAATACCATTAAAATATACTATTTGTATACATAATACAAACGACGTACACATTCGTTCAAATAAAACCTTGTGGTAACCATGTACTTCAGGTAAATGAAAAAATGACTTAAAAGCGTAACGAAGTTTTCAAAATGTTCAAAAAATGTCATACTTTTTTGTTAACTTCATTGTTGTCATATTATGTAGAACACAATCACTGGAAATCATGCAGTCATATCACTTCACAACAATTGTGCAATCTCTTTCATTCCCTCACTCGATCATTCTTATGGTAACATGAGAAGTAAGTGGGTAATAACATTAGTTAAACATTTTTGCTTCTTGATCGCATTATACGCCTCAAACCTAAAACATATATACGTTATATAGATACACATATTATACATAAGGTTAGTCGTTCATTAGTGTTGTGGCATAAGAGAGATACAAAGGAGAAACGAGTGTGACATTATATCATGAGAATTCCTAAATGTGGATGTAGAGAGTAGGAGTTGCGTTTAATTCTCCAGGACCAGTGAGAGATGGATAGTCAGGAACACTCAACGTGATGTTGCTGATTTGATGACGATTTGTAGTCAAAGTAGAGAGAGAAGCATATGTGTTGGAGCGCTTGAACGACTTTGCATCCTAATTGATGGATTCTTAATTATGTGTTTTTCTATAATTGTATTTAGATACAAACTATCGAGTGGATGAATGAAAGAGAGTACACAACTGGTGCAAATGGGTACGACGATGGATAATCTCCAATGATTGTGTTCTACATAATCCGAAAACAACGAAATTAACAAAATGTGCTCTGAAAAAACAATAATGATATTTTTTTGAACATTTTGGTAACTTCAATGCTATTTTTTATACTAAAATGTATACTTCATTGATATTTTGTATACAAAGGGTAGACTTCAATGATATTTTTTGAATATTTTGGAAACTTCGTTACCTTTTTTTAAGTCATTTTTCCGTTTATCTGAGTTAACCGGTTACCATAAGATTTTATTTGAACACATGTTGGTATTTTGTGTACAAAAAATACACTTTAATGGTATTTTTTGTACTAAAAAAACAATGATTTTTATTTATTTGTTTTTGAAACTTCGTTGCTCTTTTAATTCATTTTTCTATATATTAAAAAGGCACAACTCTTGGTAAGAAACTAAATATACGCAATAAGTGTTAGTGCCGGAAAGTGACAAAAAAGAGAAAGAAATAGGGTATGGTGGATGAGGTGGGGTTTAGACCCATTTTTCAATTATTAAAACATATGGAATATCAAAATTAAATTAAATAAATATAATAATGTTTCAAGTTAACTAAATTTACAAATGAATCTCATTTTGAATGTTGGATGCAAATTGATTTTATTTTTTTTCGATTTATTTCAATTAAAAAAAAAACAAATTTCGAGTTTTCCCCAAGTAACAAGCCAAAACCAAAATAAATTGAGCCTAGCTTTTTCATTGTAAAAGCACAAATGATGATTTCTGTGGGTCATAAAGTGAAATCCATGAATCTAGAGGGTTTAAAGGTACACCTTGCCGCATTTATACAAAAGGCCGTTCACCCCCGAAACCTCCCCTAACGCCGTCGCCATCAATCTTCAACGGCGATCTCTGCGACTCCATAGTCGTGTTCCTCCATGAACCTGATTAGGGTTTCACATAGGGGAATTTAGAATCCATCAATTCGATTTGAAAGAGTGTAAATTTTGGGAAGAAGATGGATCAATCATTCTTGATTATGCTGTCCAACCTACTCCACCTTCAAAATCAACTCGACCCTACCACCTCCATCCTCTCCGACTCCTCCACCTCCGCTACCTCAGCCACCCCTTCCTCCCTCCTCACGTCCACCTCCGCCGCCCCTCTTCTATTCTTCACCATCGCCTCTGTCCTCTCATACATCTCCACTACCCGCAAACCCCGCTCCTCCCCATCCCCACCTCCATCTCCCTCAACCACTTCCCAATACTCCGTCGCCGCCTTCCGCGCCCTCTCCACCGAACGCATCTGGGCAATGGAAGCTCCATTACGTGACGCCCAATGGCGCTCCATGTACGGCCTATCGTACCCCGTCTTCACCACCGTCGTCGACAAACTCAAACCCTACATCGCTCAGTCAAACCTCTCCCTCCCCTCCGACTACGCCGTCGCCATGGTTCTCTCCCGTCTCTCTCTCGGCCTCTCCGCTAAAACCGTAGCTAAACGTTACTCCCTTGAACCCTACCTCGTTTCCAAAATCACTAACATGGTCACCCGCCTCTTATCCACTAAACTTTACCCTGAGTTCATCAAAATCCCCGCCGGTCGCCGCCGTCTCCAGGAAACCACAGCCTCGTTCGCCGAAATCACATCCCTCCCCAACATATGTGGCGCCATTGACAACACACACATCCGCCTCCACAGCCTTCCCTCCAACCTCCCTAACCCTAGCATCTACACCAACTCACACGGATTCCGATCAATTCAACTCCAAGTAGTCGCAGATCACAAGAAAATCTTCTGGGATGTTTGCGTGAAAGCTCCAGGCGCATTTGACGATGCTACCCATTTTCGCGATAGTTTGCTCTACAACAGGTTGATTTCAGGCGACATTGTATGGGAGAAAGTTGTGAACGTGAAAGGGCATCCTGTTAGGCCTTACATCGTCGGAGATTGGTGCTACCCCTTGTTATCATTCCTGCTAACTCCATTTTCATGGAACCGAACTGGGAATCCAGCTCAGAACACTTTCGATGAGGGGTTGATGAAAGGAAGAAAAGTGGTGGAGGAAGCTATCGGATTGTTGAAGGGAAGATGGAGGATTCTTCAAGATATGAATGTGGGATTGAATCATGCACCTCAGACGATTGTTGCTTGTTGTGTGTTGCATAATTTGTGTCAGATTGCAAGGGAACCTGAACCAGAAGTGTGGAAGGAGCCGGAGGAGAGTGGTGGTGTTGCTAGGGTTTTGGAGAGTGAGAATTATTACTACAATTTTGGAGAAAGCTTGAGGCAGGTGTTAGCTGATGATCTTTACCAGAGACTTTCTTCAAGATGAAATTAATTGTAAGGTTGTAGTTTTTTTTTTCTTGTCTTTCCTCTTGTTGTAACTTTGTTCTAGAAAATATTTTTAATCCTTTTCGTAATAAGTAGTGTGTAATTGCAACCAGTTATGTATGTAAACTAACTCAAGTTTGGGGAAATTAATCTCAGATGATTATTAGTCATGTTATTCATAACAATCTATATAAAAGATGATAAACCATGAAAATGTTTGAACTTGTTACAAAATGTCATTGAGCATAGGCAGTTTTGCCACTATTTGGAAGAAGTCCATCTTTAGCCATTTCAGAAAGAATCTTAAACACAGCATCCATATTTCCTTGTTTATGGTTTATCTCAACAAGAGCTTTTGCAACTTCACCATCACTAATCCTACAACTTCTCAACACATTTTCTATAACTTCACTCGATTCCACCATCATTTCGCCTCTTATAAGTTCTTTAATCAAAGCAATAATCGTAGCAGTATGAGGAACAAATCCATGACTCACCATTTTCTTATAAAGATCAAAAGATTTCCTCAAGTTCCCACCTTTACAATGCCCATGTATCATAACATTATAAACAGCCTCACCAGGCTCTTCCTTTCTCTGAAGCATTTTATCAAACACCTTATCTGCTTCATTCATTAACCCCTTCATACAGAACCCTTTTATTAGAGCCACCACACTCTTCGCCTCCATGTTACCACAGTTCTCTATCAATGTCTCGTAAGTTACATCATCTGGAACACCATTGTCATAATACAACTTGAAAAGAATCTGTTTTGCTTCAAGGGTTCTTGCTTTCTTGGAAAGACCATTAATCAACACACTGTAAGTGACAACATCAGGGAGCAAACCTTTTTTAAGCATTTCATCATGCAAATGGAGGGCGTTTACAGTATCTCCTTCTACACAATAAGCATTTATCAAAGCTGTGTATGTACATTCATCAGGTGGCAAACCGTTTCTTAACATTTGTTGAAAAACATCACAAGCTTCTGTTAGTTTTCTTTGATCACAAAGACCTTTAATTAGCGACGAATATGTGATAGTGTCGGGTAAAACACCTTTCGCGACCATTTGGCTTATTGTTTCATAAGCTCTATCTAGCTCTTGATTTCTACAAAAACCAGTTATAATTGTGCTATAACTTACAACATCTGGGGTTAATCCGGTTTTACTCATATCATCAACAACTCCTAAAGCATCTTCCATCTTCCCATTTACAGTGTGACCATTGATCAAAGTGTTGTAAGTCACAATCGATGGAGAAAAACCCTTCTTTTTCATTTCATCTAATAGCTTATAAGCTTCATCCATGAACCCTTGTTGGGAGAAGCCATCAATCAATGTTGTATATGTTCTAGCATTTGGAAAGAGTTTTCTTACTCGCATCTGTTCTAATAATTCCATAGCCCTGTGTAGATTTCTAGCTTTACACATGCTATTAATCAACGAAGTGTAAGTAATTACATTAGGAGATAATCCATTTCGTGTCATTTCATCATGCAAAACAAGTGCTTGGTGGAAGTTACCTTCTTTACAATACCCATTCACAAGAGTATTATAAGTGACTTCATCAGGGATGATTCTTTTGTGTTTCATCTCTTCAAGAACTTCATCTGTTTCATTCATCCTCCCTTCTCGAGCTAATCCGTTAAGTATGACATTATAAGAAATCAAATTCGGCTCTAAATCTTTATTAGGCATTGTCTTGAACAGCTTGAATGCATCATCAAGTCTCCTTGATTTACAATAAGCATCGATTAGTGTGTTGTAAGTGACAACATTAGGCAAGCAGCCATTTTTCTGCATTTCAGCAAAGAACCCTAGACCCTTTTCCAAATCCCTAACCCCACAAAAGCCACGAATCAGTATATTATAAGTGAACACATTTGGTGAAACTCCAGTTCTTATCATATGTAAATACATTTCCTCGGCTACTTTAATGGGCTCGCTAGACCTAATAATCGCATCAAGAACAGCGTTATACGACAATACACCTGGCATATAACCATGAGATATGGCTAAATGGATTGTGTTTAAACCTCTTTTGACCAACTTCAAATTAGAATAAGATTTTACCAACAAATCGATGACGGCAGAGCTTGAATTACAGTCGGAGTATGTATCTTTAAGGCGTGTGAAAACTAAATCTCCGTTTTCATCAGCACGGGTGTTAATGGCTACGTCTTCGGCGATGATTTGAGCTGTTTTATAGAGCTTGAATCTGGTGAGTATGTGAAGAGAGAGGCAGCTACATTGAAGATCAAAGAAGGGACGCCGGCGAGCCCAATTGATGAATGATAGGATTAGGGTTTTGTCAGATTGAGCTTGGAGGAGTAAATAAGAAGCTGATTGAGGGGTAAATTGGGTCGACAGGGGATCTAGGTTGATTAAATGGTGGCGTTTGAGGATGGTGATGGCTTTTCCGACAAGATGAACATCAGGCGCCGTCGGTGGTGGCGCAAAGGAGGTGAGGGTGGAGAACTGAAGAGTTTTCTGGTAGGGTTTAAGGAGGTTCATTTCAGCGGACAGCTGAAAACGAACATGGTTGGTTGTGAACATTCGTAAGACTATCTTCACTCTTCACAAAATTTAAGTCAATCTTCGCCGAATATTTCAGAACATGTGGAATCAAGGAATTATAATCTATCACGAATCCAAATTCATATTTTGTTACTTTGGTAGGAAATAAAATTGAAATTCAATGTCATATTTGTTTCGTTGAAAAAAAAAATGAAATTAAAATAATAATATAATATAAAACGATATATATATATATATATATATATATATATATATATATATATATATATATATATATATATATATACTAGCCGTTACCCGCGCAAAACGACGACGACAAATAGATTTTTTCTTCTAATTATTTTCATTCGAAAACATGTTATATTTCAAAGAACACAAGACAAATATATATTACGATTGATAGGAATCCAAAAGTCCAATCTAAAATCAAACAAATTTACATATGTCTATTTGAATTATTAACTAAATACTCAAATTGCCCCTAAGTGAATTTGGCCACTTATAAAATAATAGAAAGAAACTTTTTCTTAGCCTTGCTAAAATGTGTAAAGAACAAACCCGATTTACAATTACGGGTATACGATTTAAGGTTTACGATTTGTGTTGTTATTTTTTTGATAAACATTGAAAATGTAATATTTTTTTTAATATTCTCTTGTCAAAATATGTCTATTTGATTTATGTTCATTTTTTTGTCATCAACATTTTGAACTTATCATAAAATTTGATATTTTTAGTGAAATGATTATCATTTCGCAAAAACAGAAATCTTGCAAAAAAACAAAAAAAAATCCATTTATAGATAATTAATACACAATAAATATAAAACAATAAAATCATAAAGAGATAAATTGAGATATAAGGATACTATATCTATACAGCATGAATTAGTTTTTGAATCTTGGTAACTTTGACCAATTTATATAATTGTTTGAATTTAGTTATATACTATCTCCAAACATTTATATGTCTACCGCAGAACATAGACCAAAATTAAAAATGTCAAATGTGTCAAATACGCTATAACTAATGTTTTATAAAATTGGTTTTTAGTTGAACCAGTATGACCAGTTCCTAGTTCAACCTGTTCGACCATCGGTCTATATTTGGAAGTGGTGTTTGTCGTCCTTCCATGATCGATCAATCTATTCAATTTGCTTTAAAAATGAGTTGTTTTGTTTTAAAAATGAGTTGTTTTTTAACAGACTAAGTGAAATTCACATATCTAAGTCTAATAAACATGTTCAAAAGGGTTTTTACCAATTCTATCACACTAATTCAACCCGGGTTTTTGTAGAGGGACGGTTCGGTCTAAAAATTAACATAAAACCGATCATTGTTGAACCGGTCTCGGGCTCGGTTACCGGTCTGATAGTTCAACCGGCCAGTTCAAAACATTTTCTAAAACATTGACTATAAATAAAACTATAATATGTACAATCTTGGTTATCCAATTTTATAATGAATAAATTTTATATGGATTATGATATCAAATAATAATCATTTCTTAAATTTGTTATTTTCACATAAATGACCCGAACCTTATTTTTAAAAACATTAACTACTCGTTTTTCATTTTTGTTCCATTTTTATAAGTCCTTATACTTTTATTTCATTTATATGTAATCTCAAAACCAAGTTTATCAAACCCCACACAAAATAGTATTTTCCCCCCATTTTCTTTGAAATAATGGATTCTTTGAAGAATTGTGTACGTGTGTATTTCAGGGTCACATTACAATAGGAAGATTCTTGTGAAAATAGGAAGTAACATAATTAAAAATAAGAAGTACCCAAAATGCCCCTCTTACCCACTTGATACACCAAATACCTACATTTCATTGTTTTACTCTTCCTAGTGTACGTGTATTTTTGTGGGGTTTTAGCAAAATGATGTTGGTATTATAAATAAGAAATTGCAAGTACATCGTCATATATGTATAAAAAATTTAAGTACCTTGCTTTTATGGGTTGCATACTGTTATAACCTATAAATAATTTAAGTACATTCCACTTATAAATATTACTGGTTCAAATTTTCATCCAATGACGAATCTACAGTAGTCCAATATCACATTCACATGTAAGATCTAGCAGCGAATATTAGTTCAAAAAATGTTGACACTACAATGCATCCTGATAAATCAAGGCCAGGTGCCAATTCTGTCATCCATGCCTCTAATAAACATTGCCACTTCAAACTAAGTCTGAATTTGAAATGGAAAAAAAGAATCAAGATTGCCTATTCATTATGGGTCTTAGTTTTTAACCGTAAGGGCTTCCATGTCCTTGCCCTCGACCACCTAGTATCTTTCACATGAAGCTGGTTTCAAGAACTCATTGATGCTCAATGGTTGCAAGCACCAACACCAAATCAACACAGAAACATACATACAAAAAAGCACAATCAAAATTATAAAAAGGTAAATCATTGGCATGCTAACTCACCATCAGGTAGTTGGGACAGAACATAAAGGCTCCATGTCAAAGGTTTAAAATGTACATAATTGACATGCTAATTGACTTGACTCAAGCATATGCATGCAAGGAATTGTAAATGAAAAGTAAAAATTATGTACAATCGATCAGGAAAAGACTCATGTGCTTCTGTTTTAGCTATAATAACTCTTAAGGGATCATTCTCTTTTATATCGGTTTTCTTTATTAGGGAAAATTCGTAATTGAAAGGGTTAAGAGTTTAATCACTGAATATGTGTAATGAATGAAAAAATACATGTGTATTTGCATAATTTCGTCATTTACCCTTTAATGAACAACTTTCCAAATACCATCCCTACTGTAATTAAAATTGGATTACTATTGGACATGTTGCTGCTACTAACCTTCAACAATTGCTTGACCTATACAAATACAAAATTTCAAAGGTTAATGGACCTCTTTTATATCATCCTTCAAAGTATAGGTCTACTAATTTCTTTTATGTAGCTGTCAATATACAAAGTTACATAGAATATTACAAAGAAATTAGCACAATGAAATTTAAATATACTAACATTGTTGTAGTTGTTCATATGTTGAAATATCTGTTGTGATTTAGGGTCATCCGATAGGAATCACTGATTGGGTCGACAACCTGGAAAAAAAGTGAATTCACAATATTAAACAGAATAGAATATTTCAATACTTCTTCCTGTAGGCACAAGCGTATATATAAAAAGACTGTGTGTTCTTCTTTCTTGGGGAAATACATCGTTCTATAGTTTCTAATCAATAAGGCTTGAACTTAAATGGCGATGAACTCAAACTTTGATAGGATCTCCGTTTCAACACGAGTTTTCTCCCAATAACAGTAGATCAACAATAAAGTATAATATTCCTCAAAAAGCACATTAGAAACATTATCTATAGATTTAAGATGCACAACAACAGAGAAACATTTAATTTATCTTACTGAATCGCAGTCCAAGAACATAAACATGAGGGGAAGCAGCCAGTGACACTTTTACCTGGCTAAGATAGGATGAAGGGAAGCAAAATGCTAGACCTTTTACCTTGGTTCATCGCCATCAGTTCCTTTGCAAGCTCCAATCAGTAAAAACATGAGGAAGTTGAAAATATGAGCAAATAAAAGTGGTTATTACACAAAAACGAAAATCAACAATCAAAAGCAAAAAAAGTAAAACCATAAATCAACAATCATAACCAAAACCAAATAGCAAGAAAACAAAAATACATTAACCCAGTTAAAGAAGAGAATCAAGAAACATAACCTAAATAAGAAATATACCTGGTTATTTAAATGTCAATACTCTACCAATGTCCCCTGCACCATCTTTAACGTCTGAATGGACTGAGGCTTGAGTATCGGCTTAAATCGACTGAGGCTTGTGTATCACCGGATGGGGGCAGAGAATGGGAATAGAAGTGGCACTGAGTGGTGGTGTTGATGGTTTTTTACCTCGTAAAAACCCTAGATTGAATAGAGAAGATGATGAAGAAAACGTATATCTTGAATTTATCAGAGATGAAGCCGGAAGGGATGAGGGAGATTTCGAATTTGTGGTTCATTTCCAGAGATAAAGGCGGAGGACCAGGTAAAGATAAGCAAGAGTAAAATGGAAAGATAAAGAGCGCGGTGAAAATGAAATAAGATCTTTTATGATTGCATTCTATACTTATACATATTGTATTATATTTTGTACAATTTAATTAAACAAATTAAGTTTAAAATTAATATTATTTTATTGATGGTTATTTGTACTTATAGCTTAAAGGTTTGAACGTCTTAAATCTATATTTAGAAATAGTAAGGTTTGTATAATAATATGGTAATATATATATATATATATATATATATATATATATATATATATATATATATAGAGCGAGAGAGAGAGAGAGGTATGTTCAAATGTTTCTCACATCTATTGTGTGCTACAATGAACCAATACGAATTTAGTATTAATTATATGTATATTAAATGCTATCCATACTTATAACTCATTTTTATGGAAACTAATTAAATTCGTCATTAATGTCAACAATAATATTCTTTCAGAATGAATTCATATATAGAAGAATGAGAGTGTATTCTAGTAGAATATACTTTCGTTCTTCATATTCCATGCAACTTTATTGTATTTTAAGTGAGTGAGTCCTGAAACAAAATACGAACTCATATATAACAACCTACATGTGAATTCATTCTGAAATAATGTTATTGCTGACATTAATGACAGATTTAATTAGTTTCCATAAAAAGAGAATTATAATTATGGATATCATTTAATATTCATATAATTATGGAAAATCATTTAATATCTATATTTATTTAATTAAATAATTATTTAATTTACTAAATTTCTATTGGTGCATTCTAGCATACAATAAATGTAAGAAACAAAATAACTCAGCCCTATATATATATATATATATATATATATATATATATATATATATATATATAATAGTGTTGTTGCAAGTAGTCGTGGGTGGTTGTGGAAGTGTAATGGGTGGTGGAGGTGGCGGTGGCGGGTGGTGATGGCGATGGAGAAAGTGGTGGTAATGGAGAAAGTGGAGGCGGTGGTGGCGGTGATGATGGTGATGGTGGGCGGTGGTTATACTAAAATTAGATACTAAATGCCATGAAATTTTCAAATAATAGGGTGGGTGTTATTTGGTTTAAAGTTTAAACAAAAAAAAGAAGTTGCATGAACATCTCCTTAATCGGTTTCGGTTAAACAATTTGGCAGTTTCAGGTTAAATGGTTATGATTCAGTTTTTTAGGTTGGATGAGCATCTAATTCGGTTTATGTATTAAGCTTTTTTATTTGTTTGTCATTATTATTTGTGGTGGGTGACCAACACAAAACCATATAACCTGAAAATATGCATAATACTCACCGTTAGGTGTAATATGTTATATGTCAAAATCGATTTCATGATGGGATAACCCTAGGTGTATGTTTTGGGGTTATCCTAACTTTTAACTTTTAGGGGATGATGTCATAAATTTTATAGTCATTTTTTTTGTTAAATAATTTATGTTGGCGATTTCCTAAATGAAATTGCAAGTTTTTCAGGTGGTTTGACCCACCAAGTCTTTAAGATGAAGGTGAAGATGACAAAAGTAAGTATACGAAGCTAATTATCCCACAACATAAACATGTGATGGCTTTGCTACATACTATATTAGTTTGTTGTTTGCTTCTTAACGATCCTGATAATAGTGCCTACGTTGTCTTAGAAAATGCAATGTAATTAGTGTGTAGGCATTTGATCATGTAGTAATTGTCATTCTTATGTAATTTTTAGTATATGGTGATGTAATGGCAATGTATTCTGTTTATGTTAATTGAAATGAAAATGTACTTATTTATAATGTAAAGGAATGCCAATGTAGATTACTTGTTTTATTGGCAATGTCAATGTACTTAGTTAGATTTAAATGACATGACAGTGTACTTTGTTTCATGTAAAGGAAATGTTAATGAACTATGGTTTTTTTAATGGGTATGACAATGTACTTTCTTTAGGACTGTAAACGAACCAAACGAACACGAACGAGACTTGTTCATGTTCGTTCGTTTAAGTTAACCGAACAAATGAACGAACACGAACAGTTAAACGAACGAGTTTTCTTATTCATGTTCGTTCGTTTATGTTCGTGAACATGCTAAACAAACATAAACAAACGAAGATAAACAAACATATATGAACATAAATGAACATATAATATAGTAATGTAATCAAACACAATTAAACATATATGAAGATAAAAGGAACTTATATGAATGAACATGAAAAAACGTAAACGAAGAACATAAACGAACGTTCACGAACATAATTGAACGAACGAGACCATTGTTCATGTTCGTTCGTTTATTAAATAAACGAACATAAACGAACTTTCCGACGAACGGTTCACGAACAGTTCGTTGAATGTTCGGTTCGTTTACAACCCTAACTTTCTTACATTTTGTGGCATTTTAATGGCAACGTATATGGGAGTTAACTATGTGATCATTCAAAAAATATAATTTAATATTATATTTAAATTAATAAATAAAATATAATTATATTAATAATTTAATTTTTTTAATATAAATATGATAGTATTTTATATTTAATAGATTATAAATAAGTTTGAAAGTTCAAAATTTATGAAAATTTTAAATCAATAATTAAATATTATAAAAGTAAAATGACTTTGTAAATATGGAATACTTCCAAACCCCTGTATGTCAAAAACCCTATTCTTTAACTCAATTTGTTACAGCTAATTGAAGATTATGGGTTCTGATAATTTCATTAATCATGACTCATAATTCCTTTCAAAACCACTGATATGAACTCGTCGTCTAAACAGCTGGTCGGGCTTGGGTCAGTCCTTGATAAACTAATTCGAAGCTCGAGCCTTCATGACCATATCCCCACCGTTTATCTTCTTCACACCCGCCAAGAATTCCCAGCACAAAGACCCAAGGAGATGCAACTGAGCACCACCAGTCGGGAGCTATCACCGTTCATCTTTCCTCTTTCTTCTCTTCCCTCCCCTGGTAAAAGCTACACGACACCCATGCGCACAGCCCTATCCCTCCTCCGCTCTCTCTCTACCTCCCTCCCTCACCACCACCGCCGTTATCTCCTCATCCAACGCACTTTCCCCCTCTTTAAACCCCATGTTGTAAACCCACCTCGAATTTCACTATTTTGTACTCGTTCCGCGGAACAGTCATCTGTCAGTAATTTCGTCGAGCAATTGGCGGGCGAAGACGAAAACTTGGATTTTGATAAAGATAACGAAGTTTTTAACTTCGATGCCTCTTTTGTGTCGAATGTTGATTCCAAGAATAAACATTTATCTCCGTCTCTTGATGTGAAAGAGTTGGATGAGCTGCCCGAACAGTGGAGGAGGTCTAAGTTGGCGTGGTTGTGTAAGGAGCTCCCCGCGCATAAGCCTGCTACGCTTATTAGAATACTGAATGCTCAGCGGAAGTGGGTTAATCAAGAAGATATGACTTATGTAACTGTCCATTGTATGCGGATTCGTGAAAATGAGACTGGGTTTAGGGTAAGAGTTCATCTTTTTTGTTCTTTTCAGTTTTCAGTTCACGTTTTCCTCTAATTTACACTGCAGCTATAGTTCTTGACTTCTTGATTGTGCAAAATTTTGTGCTTGTTTTTCTACTCCCTCTTATAGATAATTAACTTCCAGTTATTGAACTATTTTTGCTTTGTGTGTGATGCCATTTTGTTGGATCATTTTAGGTCTACAAATGGATGATGCAACAGCACTGGTTTCGTTTTGATTTCTCTCTTGCTACGAAGCTAGCAGATTTCATGGGCAAGGAGCGAAAATACTTGAAGTGTAGAGAGATATTCGATGATATAATCAATCATGGACTAATCCCTACAGAATACACCTTCCATATTCTCATAATCTCCTACCTTAGTTCATCAAATCGTGGTTGTTTAGATCAAGCATTTGCTATCTACAATCGAATGATTCAATTAGGAGGTTATAGTCCTCGCCTCAGCCTGCACAATTCTCTTTTCAAAGCACTTCTAACTCAGCCAGAGGACTCTTCAAAACACTATGTCCATCAAGCAGAATTCATATTTCATCAAATGGTAACATCTGGATTCAAGATTCATAAAGATATCTACAGTGGGCTTATTTGGCTTCATAGCCATCAAGATAAGATAGATAAAGAAAGAATCACATCACTAAGAGCTGAGATGGAATTATCTGGATTTGATGAGACCAAAGAAGTGCTTATCTCTATATTGAGAGCTTGTTCAAAAGAAGGGGATATAAATGAAGCTGAAAAGACATGGGAAAAGCTTCTTAATATCACTCCCACAATTCCTTCTCAAGCTTTTGTGTATAAAATGGAAGTCTATTCAAGAATTGGAGAACATATGAAATCATTTGAGGTATTTAGAGGCATGCAAGAACAATTAGGTTCAGCCAGCATTGCAGGATTTCATAAAATCATACAAGTTTTGTGTAAATCAAACTCTCATGAGCTTGCAGAATCTGTCATGAAAGAATTCATCGAAAGTGGTAAAAAGACATTAATGCCCTCGTTTCTTGATTTAATGAACATGTATCTAACATTAGGCATGCATGATAAGTTGGAGTATACTTTCCTTCAGTCCCTTGAGAAATGTCCTCCTAATCGTACCCTTTACAATATATATCTCAAATCACTTGTAGATTCTAGGAATTTACAAAAAGCAGAAGAGACATTACGCGAAATGCAAAGTCACGAGGCTGTGGGTGTTGACACTGAATCTTGCAACACCATTTTAAGAGGGTATTTAGATGGTAAAGAGTATGCAAAAGCAGAAAAGATTTATACTTTAATGAAGGAGAAAAAGTTTCACATTGAACCCGATTTGATTGAGAATCTTGAACATGTTTTGAGTTCAAATCAAGAAGCTGTTAAGAACCCTGCAATCTTGAAGCTTAGTAAAGAACAACGAGAAGCTTTGGTGGGGTTACTATTGGGTGGTGTACAGATTGAATCAGATGAAAAAAGAAAGAATCATAAGCTTGTTTTCAAGTTCAATGAGGACTCTGGTGTACATAAGGTGTTAAAGAGACATATTTCCTATGAGTACCATGAGTGGTTGGATTCATCTAGTGAACAATTTACCACTATACCCCACTCTTATTTTGGGTTTTATGCAGACCAGTTTTGGCCACAGGGGCAACCTGCAATTCCTAAATTAATCCACAGGTGGTTATCACCACGGGTTCTTGCATATTGGTACATTTATGGGGGTTACAAGACATCATCTGGAGATATTTTATTGAAGGTCAAAGGAAGTGAAGATGGAGTTGACCGAATTGTTAAAACCTTACAGAAAAAGTCGTTGACTTGTAAGGTCAAACGCAAGGGGAGAGTGTTCTGGATAGGTTTACTTGGAAGCAATTCAGAATGGTTTTGGAAATTGGTGGATCCGTATATTGTAAGGGATTTAAAAGATGTTTTAAAACCAGGGAACATAGCATCTGATATAAAGGAAGAAGCCCGAAATGTTGAGTTTGATAGAAGTGATTCTGATTATAGTGAAGATGACATCTTGTAGGATTTGTAAAATCTAAACTAACATTGTGGCTTAAAAAGAGGTGAGAATAGGTTCATGAAAAGGCAAGTATATTCAATGAAGTTTCTTGACACTAAGGTATGTTTTTATGTATGTCATTATTTTGATGCAGGTAGAAAATGGTAGTGGTGCTAATGCTGCACATTTGAGTCAAGGCACATGCTTTTTTATTGGATTTAGTTGAGGGTATGTATATCTTTTAACACTTCACTAACATCCTAATTTATGTGACCTCACTTATATGAGGTTGTTTTGTGCATATTTTATCATTACAATTGGTATTTTCTTTCACTATTTATCATATGCTTAAAGCCCATTACTTGCTAGGAATAACTGGCACCGAGTTGTAATTGAGGTTCTGCTTTATTTGTTGCTTCAGGCTGTGAAAAAGATTATTTATTATATATATATTTTAAAATATTTTCTAATTATCTACTTTTTGACTCTTGAAAATTACAATGTTTAACTTCCAAATACACATGTCAGTACCTTATAAATCAAATGAATAAGGTTATATCTTTCTCACATGACAGAAAGTTATATCTTATTTAGCTCCTTTACAAAAATTTCTTAGTAGCGTGTCATTTTAACTATGCCACTCACAAAATGGTTTGTACAATATGTAGAAGATATATACGCTATAAGAATATTTTTTTCGATGAAGCGACTTCCTCTCATTAATCACCATATATATACTTCACAAGGCAATTGGGCTATATAAAAGTGGGCCGAGATAAAGGGCCTACATATAAACATAATAATATACACCAATTGGGGGTGAGCATTTGGACCGGAGCGGTTATGGAGAATATTGTGGACCGTGGACCGGACCGGATGAGTCGTGTCCGTGTCCGTGTCCGGGTTTTCCGGTTCTTGGACCCGTTTGGACCGGTACAACTTTAATTGCATAGAGTACAAGTCGCTAAAATAAGTTTTTGGGTTTGATAGAACTCGTTAAAATGAATATGTTATTGAGTTTGATGCGATACAACTTGTAAAAATGATTACGTTTCCGTTTCATGCATAACTAATATACCTTGATGTTATAATATTATAACTTAAAAAATTAATTTTTTCCAAATAAAAGCAACTAACATATAAATCAAGTTCACCAAGATCCCTTTCATATGATTTATCTGTCAAAGATACATAAATTTCAAAATTATAGTCTAAAATAATAGTTAAAAAGTTGAAATATTTTAGTTTTGATAGTTCAATTTTGAAGGATTGTAACTCATTGAATATAATACTCAAATCAACAAAATTATAGTATAAATTCATCTACAAACTGTAAACTAAATGTTGGAAAAAACCACAGGTCAATCCGACTTAAAACGAATGAGTTATGGTTGTTTAAAAATTTTCACGGATTACAAAATTTTAAAAATCTTGCTGAAAAGATGAAAATTTTCAGCTTTGATAGCTCAACTTTGAAAGACTATAACTCATTGAATATAATACAAAAATCAACAAAATTATAGTCTAAATTCATCTACAAACTATAAATTAAACGTTGGAAAAAACCGTGTGTCAATCCGACTTAAAACGAATGAGTTATGGTTATTTAAAAATTTTCACAGATTACAAAATTTTAAAAACGTTGCTGAAAAGCTGAAAATTTTCAGCTTTGATAGCTCAACTTTGAAAGACTGTAACTCATTGAGTATAATACCAAAATCAACAAAATTATAGTCTAAATTCATCTACAAACTGTAAATTAAACGTTGGAAAAAACAGCGTGTCAATCCGACTTAAAACGAATGAGTTATGGTTGTTTAAAGATTACAATTTTTTTTTAAATCGGGTCCAACCGGTTTTAAACCCGGTAAAAACCAGACCGGACCGGGAAAAAAACCGGACCGGTTTTGATGGATTCCTAGAACCGAGAACCGGCCCGGGGGTCAAAAAAACGGTCCGGTCCGGTCCACCGGTCCAAATGCTCACCCCTACACCAACACCCTTTTAGTTTGATCGGGACGATGATTCCAAACATTTAAACCGGAACAAAAGTCTTGAAAGAGAGAGGATGAAAGTCATTTGGTGAATATGTCGGCATATTGAGAAGAAGATGTCACATGCAACACTCGAATTTGACCAATCACAACTTTGTCCCAAACAAAGTTAATATTGATCTCAATATGTTTGATTAAAATCTTTCAATCAAGTTTGAAGACTTGTAGACCTCACTACCATTGTTATAATAATTGTTGGGCGGGTGATGAAGCTCATGAAGAAGATTTTGAAGCTCCGTTTTAGAATCGTGAAGTGTGGCTCATGAAGATCATTCACATAAAGATCGATTTGCTAAACCGAGTATAGATGTCCGAATCTCTTAGCGTGCATCCGTTCACCACCGATTAGACTTCGATTGAGAGTTGGGTCCACGGCTGGTGTGCCGGAGGCATCACAATAATATTGGCCAACATGTCAACTAGGGTATGATCAGGTTTGCAGTTGAGCATATTAAACCTCTCAAGGATCTTAGAGGCATGCTTATATTGACTTAAGAATATACCATGTTGATCACGGGGTAAAAGTGATGCCAAGGAAGAAATTAAGACCTCCAAGATTAGTCATAGAGAATTATGTAACACTTGGCAAATTAATACAAAGTACAACAAAAAATTTAATTTTTCAACCCACAAAACAAGTAGGTGTACATTTATATTAACATGCTAGAATACAAGTAGTTACCAAAATGATCGTATACTCAAACCCAAAACTATGCAAATATCCGAGTTGGGCGTTACCATACACTTAACATTTCTTCTATCTCCAGGCTACCTCTTTACCCTTACCGACTCTACTCTTACCGATTCTACTTGATCTTGAAAGGCACAACGAGTAATAGTTTAGCTTTGCAAGCTTAGTGAGTAATAAAAACAACAAAAAAAAAACAAAACGGTGGTAAAAAAAAATAACAGAAATCTGAGCAAAAATCTGACCTTCAGCAAAGTTAGACAAAAGAAAAGTAGCAAGAGTGTCATTTGGCAATAAAAACAACAAAACTATGGTAAAAAAGTAACATGAGGAAGCAAATAGACAATAAATGCGAGAATATAAGAAATAGAACATGGTTCTCAAACGACATGCACAACGCCCATACGAATCCAATGAGGGCTCATACCAACTTGCCCTAGCACCGCCTCCTGAAATTTCTTCATCGACACGTTCAACCATGATATCTTCGAAATATCTTGTGCAAGATCGGGGGTTCTATTCCGGGTTTTTTTTTATCAACAATGGCACCAGGGAAAGCATTACGATAAGAAAAACGGGAGACATTGAGCTAAATGAATTCATTCTTCCATTTCTTAATAGACTCACGAAGACCCTCTATAAAGCTCTTCCCTCGAGAACGAAAGTAGAACCATGCACCATTGCTACAAATCTGAAAGAAGTATTGAAACAAGGCGATAGTGGGCATAACAAAGGAAGCATGACACAACAATTCGAAGCATATTATTTTGGATATGGAATTTGGTTTAAGCTGACATGTATGGATCTTATAAGCTTCAATGATTCGCCCAAAGAAGGGCGAAGGAGGAACCCTCAAACCATCTTCAAAGCAATAGAGGTAAAAACAATCTTACCGGAAGGAGGATGATCGATCGTCGCAGTAGTATGTATATTTGAAGATGTTGGTGGTACCCAAGATCTTGGGAAGAAAACAGCAATATTCAGAATCTGGTTTAATAAAGTTGATTTGCTTCGAAATATAAATATGTATATTTGAAGTATTTGGGACAAAAAAGATACCAAGATAACACAAAATAACTTGGTTGTTTTGACAATGAAATCAAATAAAAATCAAGTAAACGTGAGAAAATGTTGTAGTCGATAAAACGAAAATAAATAAGTAAAAATAAGTGCAAGAACATAGTGACGTACGAGAAAAGCCCTTAATCCTTTTGGATATCCAGCATAAAACCTTGGGAGGTGATGAAATTCACTTGCCTTAGAACTTAAAGTAATAAAAATGAGGTTACAAGTGCTAGCTGATCGTGTTGCAAGTGTAAAAGTGTTGAAGTGTCGAGAGAAAGAAGGTGAGAACATAAGAGATCATGTGTCCGTGAGTGGGGGATCAACTAGGCTTTTATACATATACTTACTAACAAACATTCCTGGATTCTATATGTAACACCCGGAACCCCCAAGACTAATTAAGGAAAGAAAAACTTCAATTAAGAAGCCAACTCGTCGAGTTCAAGGATGAAAACTCGACATGTTGGAATGTTGGACCGCGCGTTTTGGAAGACCAACTTGACGAGTTGGGGAGGACCAACTCGACGAGTTGGACTGGGTTTGGGAAACCCTAAAATCGGGACTTTGCACCCTATTTAAACACTTTAACCTCCATAGGCTGGCCTCATTTACAACCTCCAAGTCCCAAAACCCTAGCCACGAAACCCTAGAGCCTTGTGTGAGCTTGTGAGACCTTTTTGAGAGAAAACTTGTGCTTTTGAAGCTTGTAGAAGAAGAGGAAGCTAGGGGACTCAAGAAGAAGAGAGTAGATCCAGAAACTTCACTCCATTTGCAACATTTTCGGGTAAGCAAGTCTCAAACTTGCTCAACGATTTCTTAAATCTCTTCATTTCACTTTTATGGGGTTTTTGGTCCAAGAATGTTAGCTTTTGGGAAATGGACGATCCAAGTGGGTATTCTCCCAGATCTAGGACCTTGAAGGGCTGTTATGGCATAAAGGTGCAAACTTTATGGCCATTGGAGCCCCATGCAAACTCTAAGATGTCATTTTGGCCTTTTAAGCCGCAAAAGGCCATGCATGGAGTTAAAGGCAGAAACTTTACGTGTTCAAATGATGTCTAGGGTCTAGATCTCAGTTTGTATGCCTTAGTTCAAAGTATATATGGCTTTTGGATCAAGATCTAGATCTTGAAGAATTAGGGTTTAAGCTAAATCCATTAAAGGAAGCTATTAACGGGTAAAGTTGGAAACTTTACCCTTATAAGGACATTTTCAGTATGTAGAAGAAATATGGAGTCCAGATCTGAAGGATATGAGCTTAATCTTTTAAGATGGCTCAACAGACTGAAGAACTCGTCGAGTTGGGTTGAAGTGTCCCGATTATGTAAAGGGAAAACTCGACGAGTTCAAGGATGACTCGACGAGTAGAATGGGAAAGTCCCGACACCATGGATAGGGGGAACTCGACGAGTTGTGAAAGAACTCGACGATTTGGATCGCGGTTTAAGAGGTTTATGATTTATGGGACTCGACGAGTTGATGGACTAACTCGGCG